CCGAACAAAGAATATTACAAAGGAAAATTTTGAATAAGTATGTATATCGAAATAATATTATTTTTAAATTATACAAAAAGATTTATGACTATATTATTAATTATTGGTCTACAACAAGGTGCCTAAATGCTATTGGTTATATTTGAGACGATAAAAATTGGAGTCCCCAATGAATTATCTGTGAGAATGGACTTTCTTGTTTCCACCTAGAATTGTAGTCATTTTCGTCCTTGTTAAGTTAAGGAAATGTTTCATGAGTAGTACAGACATGTGAAAAGAGATAACCGAAGAATGTTGAACTTTCTTTGAAGTCCGATGCTGGCAACATGCTCAAGTTTTGCTTGTCTGTATCTCTTTTTGTTGCACATCAATTGGTGTAATCTTATTCCTTTTTCTTTATTAGTGTGTCCGCTGCAATTCCTCTCTGGCATCTCTCTTCTATGTTTACGATATGCCCTACAACGTTTATCGTGAGTAAAAGTAGGCGTTCTGTCAGCAACCGCTCTAGTCTAGAAAGTAAATTGAAGAAGAAAGTAAATGCAACAGTTTTATTGCGGATTACGTTACAACTATGCCAGTACTACTGGAACCAACAAAATCTAGGTACCGCTCTATGAAAATTACCCATCCTCGTGTACAATGACACCTTATGCTCGATCTCTAAAAACCTGTCTTAATAAGAACCAATATTAAACCAATTAAGAAGTTTATTGTGGGTGAATAGTATTATAGTTAAACATCATTTTTGACGTCCTTAGCGAAGATGGTTTTTTAATTTCAGTTATTAATTAGTGCAGTCGTCTCTCTTTTTGACAGAGTGTAAAAAGTTTTTCTTTGAGCTTCATTAACACAAAGCCGCCGACTTGGCACATAGTGCAGCCGTTCGATATAATTAATACCGAGTTCATTAATTCACTTTATTATTACACAAATTTCTCGTTTTGTCTGAATGGAGCGTCGCGGCCACGACGCTACAAATAATTAACAGGCACCAGATCGCACAAGAACCAGCAATTAATATTAACGAAGTTGTAAATGAAACATTTCACCGACGAGCAGTCACATTGTACGGTCCGTGAACGGATCCGAAAACCCGAATTTAAACTATATCTGCCAAACTACGGCCATGTCTACCGAGATTAGGTTGAAACCAGACAATTAATTCATCCATTACTGGGACCTTGATGAGAGCATTCGAACCTAACTTGAACTAATGCGAATATAATGTAACAGGTATACTAAGGGTGCTGGCCCAATAGACAATAGTGACATGATAATGAAATACAAAATCTTCTTTCGATATTTCTTGCTTCCTTCAAGTATGTGTACTTTGTACTATTTTGTTCGCTAAAAGGTCAACTTATGCGTTAGAGGAAGGGTCAGTTTATGCATTGTTGTTGAGTCTTCATAACCCTCATAACTATCGACACTATTTTCTTTAAATCAGGATCGCATATTTGACAGACCAATAGAAAAATTTGTTCTTAGAAGAACTATTAAAAAAACGTAAGTGTCAGATTAAATGAGCAAGACTAAGTATCAACACTCAATACCAAAACCAAGACTAGAAGTATTTGAGCAAAACCAATAAGACTAAGATCGAAAAAGCCCAAACTGGGACAGTTTTGGCCTTGGTTTTGCTTTTTGAGCTTTTATGCTAACATTTTCTGCTGAATTAAAACAAAAAGAAATGCTTGTTTTTTGAGACATCTTAAAATATAATCTAGTTTCTTTTATGACTGTGGCATTAATATATTACCTTTTGCGATGCAAACTAGCCCGTTGCTTCGTAAGCGAAAATAATAAAAATTACAACTTGGACCCGAATTTGTAAAAATAAAATCCCAGCTGAAATAAATTTGCNAATTGACACTACAAATTGAATTGTAATAATTAAGAAACTTGTATCTGATTTTTAAAAAGGGATGTTAATTAGTTACCCTAGATAAAAATTTTCAGCCTCTCAGAGTCTTTCAGCGTCTCTCAGAACGTCTCTTACAGTCTTTTACGGTCTCTCAGTTATTGCCTAGATGTTTTTATGGATCTCTCACAGTCTCTGTTTGAGAGACTCGAACCATAAAATTGTTAATTCAGAGATTCGAGTCTCTCACAGAGAGACTGAATGAATAAAACTGAAAAATTGAGACTCGAGTTTCTCGTAGAAAGACTGGGATCTCTGAAATATGTTGAAATTAGAAAATTTTAATCACGTCTATCGAGACACCAATTATTGAGAGATTCGAGTCTCTCGTTCAGAGACTGGATACGAAATGAGGATCTCTCTATGAGCGAGTTGAGTCTCTCGTTTAGAAACGCTAAACAGTTTTTTGACAGTCTCTCGACAGTCTCTCTCAGCGACACCAGAGAGACTCGATGAGAGACGGAGACTCGAGTCTCGCTTTCAGAGACTCTGAGAGAACATTTTTATCTCGGGTACTTAATACATTCTACTATTTCTACGGAAAATTCAGTCATTTACAATCGAAAATTGTAATTTTTGCTCTACCATAAAAATTTAGTTTCCTCCGTGTATTTAGCCTGATAGCGTCAATTCTACATCCTGAAGGTTATAAAGTTCACCTGGCGTTGACGCTCCCAAACACCACTCTGGAGAACTATTAATAGTAAAGCAGCAAAAAGTTTAATAGGACTACTCAGAGTAAATTAGCTTTCACATTTTTTTATTTTGGAAATTGTGCTTTTTATAAAATTGCACTTAACGACAAATTTTCTCGTCTAGTACAGAAGGTAAAATCGATCTATCAGGAATATCAGAAAAAAAGAGGTAAAGTGAATGAATAAAAACGTTCGCATTTGAGAAAGTTCATCAACATACAGGGTTCTTGGTCCGAAGGCTAATTGGTCCGGCGCCTCCAGTCATTCCTCTTTTGAGCTAATCTTTCCAATTCCCGAAAACTACAATTACAAAAAACTAACTGTCTATACGTATTGGGCAGTACGTAGATAGTTAGCCCTCCTATTTCGTAAAGAGTTTCTTACTAACCCTTCAAGTTTCAAGTGACCTATTATCTCTAAATATATATCTCTTCTTTTTTTATAGACTTTCACAGTAGGTACCTTTTGTTCTCCTGCCTCCTCATGTCTAACCAATTAATCCACGATATATTCATCAACAATAGGGATAAGTAGATATGTCGCAGGTTCAGTTCAACAAATTGATATTCTTACGGACCGTGCCGAACATTTATGAATACTACAAAATGTAGAATTCAACAGATGGCGTTTAATACGTTGTTTGCAGTAATTATAGTAACTGTAATTCGTAATTGTTGTTTACATATTAGTTCTGTATGTAGTTTATTATCCGTTTTATTAACGAGACTTTATGTTGAAAAGATTCGTCTACAAATGAAATCTTTTCTTTTAGGCAATTTGTTGGACAAATTACTACTGAATTTTGACAGAGTGGTTGGTTTATTATATAAGGAAATATAATAAGTTGTTTATTATATGTTAACAATATTCGTTAATAAGGCAATTCATATATAAATAAAGTTCAAACACCTCATTCAATTACTTATTAGGGTTGACCTATAAATAATAAAGGACGTCGTAGTTATCATGAATGGTATTGACTTGTTTTCAAGTTAGCGGTTTTATGTAGAAGCCTAATTTATTTACACCCACCGCATGAGTTATTATGGGCGTTACTATGTTTCTATGTTGAATTAGTAGTGTAAGCACTCTGAATATAAACATAACAAAGGGTGGTTCACAATAATATTGTTTCGTGATAGATTATGCAAATCAGGTATTAGGAAATTCACTTTATATTTCTACCCTCAGGTATAAAGCTAAAAAGTGTAACCACAATTGAATGTTGCTGAAAGGATTACTTAATGGGCTACGATATATATATTTTTGTTATGTTACGTTAGATTTATTTTATTATGCATCGTACTACAGATGGCGTTTACCGCGCCATTTGTGGTATTTTCTAAAACGTGCTGTTAAGACAGCAGGTAAAAGTTGGTCTGTGTTCTGCCGGAGCTGCCTGCGACGCGCTGATGAGATCCAAAAAGATCGAAATCGCGATCCGCGTCTGACAGTTTCGACGGAATACAGACCACTTCGAATTATTTTATTCGATTATGGGAACGTGCCTATCACGTTGAGGTTAGCTACGCCGGGATTCGTTTCAGCAAGTAGATATCCATATATTTAAATGGACCTTGTTGGAGCATACGTAATCCTAAAATGTAGCATCGTACCACAGATGGCGTTTACCGCGCCATTTGTGGTATTTTCATGTACGTAACAGTTATCAAATATTCTTACGAAATTAAAATCTATTGAGATTCCGAGTTATTTTCTATTATACTTATTAAACTACACGTTAAAGCAAAAGAATAGACATTAATTCAACCGCTGCTGTAAAAATTTCAAATATAAAATAAAAAACAGAAACAAAATGCAGTAATGGAGTTTTAAAGCCTGTTACAGCATTAAAATAAGAGACAATGCGAGAACAACATTTGAGACTTGCTTGCAATTTGCTAATGCCATAAAACGTGCTCTTGTCTCTTCTATCCTTTGTTGGACGCTCTTTCGATCCCAGTAGTAAGGATCATTTGTGAATTGAAACGGTGGTTCAATGGGATGACTGGCCATTTTCACATTAATCTCGTAACAAAGTCGGCCGTACTCCTGTTCGTTCTGGTGATTTCCCCCGCAATAAGCGGCTAGGCTCCTGTTTCCAAGGGCAGCGGCGTATTGCAGGTAGTTTCTCCAAACTGGTCCTTTGCCCCAGCGATATGCCTGGCCGTAGTTGCACACTATCGCCAGCACTCTCCTTTCAGGACGACCCCATTCTGTCCGACCGCAACCTATCCCTGTCGTATCTGGGTAGATTACCTTGAAAAATATCTCTCACAGGAGAATGTTATGTCTATAAAATTTATGATAAAACTTTCCTAAATATGATTTTTTTTAATTTACTCGGAAATTTCTAAATAATTTCGCGATTCATTTATAGGAAAAAGTGATTGAATAAACATAAAAAAAATGTTCTAAGGTAAGTCTTCAGTAATTCTTACGTTTACGAAGCTTCTCGCATAGCTATTTTTGTGGGCATTTTTCAGATAGCGAGTGAGATTATCCTTCTCGGAAAGAATAGTACTGAACCACATCCCCACAGGTTGCCACATGCCCAAAAAATCCTCGTGGTTTACAAAAAACAGGTTTTGTTCAACAAAGGAGTACGTATTGGTTTTCTTGCAATAAGGATCCTCGTCTGTAGGACAAGTATTGGCCCAACATTGGGCGATAAATTCTAGTTCCTCGTCATATTCAATTGTCATGGGATTGTAATCCTTTTCGTTCAGTTTCTCTTTCAGCGGTTGTACCGCAATTTCATTAAGTAGTTCACCATTGGCGAAATATTTTCGAAAATCGTTATGCCACTTGACTACTTCTTTCCTCTCAACATCGCTTAAAGGAGTTGGGGTAGCCGTTTCATCGCAAAATTTTGAAAATTTGCAAGGCTCCAATTTGCACATTGTATGCATTTGGAGTCCCTTTTCGTTTTCTAAGCAAAAGTACTGCGAATAGCAGTAGAAATTCTCATCTGCAAATGAAGGCAATATTAGCATGATTGTGAGAATCCAAAGAAAAATAAGTTTCATTTTTAATGTTACTTGCTTGTGTCAACTCAATATGACTTATTAATTGGCCAACATTGATATTAATTTTAATTTACATTTTAAGGATACTTATTTAGTTCGATAAGCTTTGCTTGTGTTGATACATTACAATTCGAGATATTTAGGAAATAAACAGTTCGGTTGTTCATATGTACATATTTGTTACATCACGTCTAGCGTTTTATAGTACCCGTTCAATTTAAAAAGTGGTTGCAGGAAAAATTCACTGTAGCATATATTACGCTTAGAATATCTATACGTGTACGTATAATTACTTACTCTTAAAGCAGGGCGAAATGAATTTCCTTCTGAAATAATCCTGAAGTGCTTGCATAGGTTGTTGTAGCTACATTGGTACTGTGCACCGCAACCTGCGCCTTTCCGCTTCGATAATTACCGGGAATGAATGTCAGGGTTTTGTTTTCCGTACAAATCTGCATACGTAGGCACATACATATGTGTATAACATATCATTTTTATAAATGAAAATAATATGTGGATTGAAAATAGGTACCGAAATGACAACTTTACAGGAGTGTATCAAAATTTCTATACTTATACCTACAGGTATCTATCTAGAGGTAATAAAATGTAGAGTATCGTTAGAAAGTTTAATAAATCCTCATTTAATTTAGAGAATCAATTTGATCTCATCATCATCATAAGGTCATCAGTCCTAAGACTGGTTGGACACGTACCTCCACTCTTTCCTATCCTGAGCTAAACTTCGCATTTTCCTAAAACTAGAACAGTCCACATCCTTAACTATTTGCGAACAGTAATCTAATCTAGGTCTACCTCTACCCCTCCTAATTCCTGTTTCTGCCTCTAATATGTCTCTGACTAGACCTTCATGCCTCAGAAGGTGTTCTACCAACCTACCTCGCCTATTTTTTATTAACTTCCATAGAGACCTCTGTTCTCCTATTCTTTCTAATACCTCTTCATTTCTAACCTTTTATACCCACGATATCCTCATCATCCGCCTATAACACCACATTTCGAACGCTTCTAACCTTTTCTTTTCCGCCGCTCCCACTGTCCATGTTTCACACTCGTACGATGCCGTGCTCCAAATAAATACTTTTAACAATCTTTTTCGAATTTCTAAATTAACCGTTCGCGAGCATAGAAGTGACTTCTTTTTATTAAAGGCGACACGACCCTGCGCTATCCTCTGCTTTATATCCCTACTACTCCTTCCATCCTCACTTATCTGACTTCCTAGGTATCTAAAATCAGCCACTTCTTCTAATTTTTCGTCTCCTACTTTTATATTCGCTCTTTCCCTACTTTTTCTTCCCTTGCATATCAGTATTTAAGTTTTAAATTTGATCTCAACGATGGAAATATACATAAAGGTTTAAATAGTCGTAAATTATATAGTACGAAAAGTTCCTGTATATATGTATGAAACTGACTTCTCGAAAACTATGTTAATGATTTCGACGAGACTTTCTGCTGTTATTGTATATCTACTTACCGAAATTCGGCCCAATTCATAAATATTAATTTTGAAATTAAGCCTACAAGAGAAAAAGTACTGAGTACATATTATTTAGCTACCTCTCCATTTTTTTGCACTACGTGTTTTACTTCGCTTTTTCATTTACGTATTTCATTGAAGTAGCCAAATGTTTACATTAATAACGAGATAACTTCATGTATATATAGACGGTACGGAACATTCTATATTCTAATTTTGAAGAAAAACGGAAAACAAGGAATCTTTCGATTCCTACATAAATTATTTGTAAACAAACTACGTCAGCATGATACGGAAAGAATAAACAATCAAAGCCAGGAAAATATCTGGGAAATTATTTGTTTTTGAGTTTTTGTCGCGGCAGAAAATGTTCAAAATTGAAGGTTCACTGGAGCAGGACTACGGGATTATAGGGGACGCCGTGTCAAGAATGGACAGGAAACCGTTGAAGACGTGAAGCGATCAGGACACCCTTCAACAAATGAGTTGGACGAAAATGTGGCTAAAGTAAAAATTCTGCTAATCCTGCCTGTGAAGAGACCACAAACGGAAACAGGCTGTCTTGGATAGGGGTTGCAACCACAGTCACCTTACAGCCCCCACATCACCCCGGACGACTCTTCTCTGTTCTCAAAGTTCAAGAAGATGTTTATGCTACACGATGGGTTGTGTCAGAGTTCCTCAAGGAGGTAACGACAGGCTGACTTCGATGGGAGCATTGAAGCGATGTACTGACGCTTACTTCTGTAGAATTTTAAGGATATGTTCCGATCTGCTCGGTCATGTTCGGCGCGTTAAATTCCATCCAAGTGAAGTAGATTAGTAGACATTTCGCCGCGTCTAGGTGCATAATCATATTGTGACTNTTATTACTTTCTCAATAAAACATGAGTTGTATGAATATAAAAGGAATGAAAATTGGAACGAAAAATGGTAAAAACTAAATACACAAACAATTTCTACAACTTTGTACACAGAATTTCCAGTTAAGTGGGGTCAACTATATAATCAAAGAAAAGCAAGGTAACATTTCAATATCAACCGAAAAAAAAAATAACCAAATACTAAGGAAAAAACACAACACCTACGTATGTTCCTAAAATATTCACTGCATTAGCACGTAGATAGTACATACCCACAATATGTATAGATACAGTAGATACTACGCGATGAAAATTAAAGGCAGTTTTAATCGATACTATTCCTTTGTGTAGATACTGATCAGGCGAAAATTCCAATGTCTCTCAATGTGACATTTAATTTTAGACTGTCGGATTTTAATCACACTTGTGTAATCAAGAAAACATAGAATATTTCTACCTATATGTACTGTGTTCTCAGAAGCACATAAGCAATTTGTAAAAAGATTGGGGTGCTTTTAGATTTTAGGAACAAACTATTTTAGATACTGTACAGTTTGTAAAACAATTTTCAAGTAACTTGCGCTTCTTGGAAGAATAATTAAAGTGAATATTCAAAAAGCGTAATTTATAAAATTTCTAATGAAACTATAATTACTATGTGTGTATTCCGATATCGCATTTCAAGGCATTCTATGTGCGAACCTCGCTGATTATAATAACGTTTTCTTTATTTTTCTCTCAAAACATGATCATTATAAGGACATTATAAGGAAGTTTCGGTTTCGGTTTCGGTTTCGGCCGAAACTGAGACCGTTGCCGAAATTCGGTTTCGGTCGTAGAAACCAGTTTCGGTAGGACACTAGTATTTATCCTTATACCATTAGCGTTTAAATTTCAGTACGCAATTAGGCCCAAAGCAGCAAGGACTTGTAAGGACTTGTAGCGAGTTAGACAAATTTCGCACTGTAACAAAATTGCTTCTAGTAGGTACAATAAAATGGAAAACCATTAAATTTAGAAACGATCGAAAACATTGTATGCATATAAGTGAAATTTAAATTCAATACGTGTAGTAAGATAATGGATCGGTCTGAGAAGGACTATGTTACAGTGTAAATACGTATAACGAGAGCTGTACCAATTGTAATGTTCCAGCCAACGAACGACGGTATGCATAATGCAACCGGCAACTTCCCAGCTGTGGACCGTTCCGATAAAAAGCAGATTTTAATTTTAGATAGTCTGTCTCCTTTTCGTTAATTAAATTTTCCGGTAGGTACGGTTTACATTTTGTGTACTTTGGTAGGAATTTAAATGTAATTATCGGGACATTGTTTTCTTTCAAAAACGTATCGCTGTCTCTCTTCGTCTTTTGTTGGTATACAATCAATACTTAAGTCTAGCATGACATATTCACCACAATGTTAAAAAGAATATTTATCACAAAGTGATGGTTGTATCTGCACTTCGCTAAAATTATCGATTATTGTGTATGTTTGGAGCACGGCGTTGTACGGGTGCGAAACATGGACAGCGGGCGCGGCGGAAAAGAAAAGGTTAGAAGCGTTCGAAATGTGGTGTTATAGGCGAATGATGAGGATAACGTGGGTAGAAAAGGACATATTAGAGGCAGAAACAAGAGTTAGGAGGGTAGAGGTAGACCTAAATTAGATTACTGTTCGCAAATAGTTAAGGATGTGGGCTGTTCTAGTTTTAGGGAAATGCGAAGTTTAGCTCAGAATAGGAAAAAGTGGAGGTACGTGTTCAACCAGTCTTAGGACTGACGACCGTATGATGATGCTGATGTAGTTCTTCTAAATTATAATATTTGCGATCAAACATTTATTTACGTATGCCCAAGCCTTTAGTCAAGGGTTTAAGTAATTTCTTTTTGTTTGTCACCCTTTTCGGCCAATTTAATAAAACTAAATCTCGTGATTGACTGATAGGTATTGCCGCAAATGCTACTTTCATATATTTATTGTGAGAATTTTTATCTACTAACAAATAAAGTCTTAATTTTAGAATTAAAATCTCTGCAATTTAGAATTAACTTTACTAACATCTATTGCTTTTCGTTTAAGTTTACTAAAGACATTTAAGGTTAATCAATAAAACTTAAACTGACCCATATAAAATCCATTTTTAAATTCGTTTACCAACACTACTCCTATAGATAGTTCTAAACTTTCTGAATTATACGAGATCCGGGTGATATTCTTGAATCGGGGTCATCGTATCGATATGGGTACTGAAGACATTTCTTGGAATTTCTTATCTTCGGATTTAAAATTGTGGTAAAAGTTTTCATTGGATGCGGGGAGTGAAGCGCAATAACGGTCTGTTTGATTCGCTGCCTCCTAAAAAGGAAAATATTCAACAAAAGCTCATATAAGAGATGCTTCTTCAGAAGTGCAGTAAGTTTTGTAGATGTATCAAATAAAATTTTTACACGTTGAGTAAAACAAGACATCAATTTTCTGCAGAAGAAAATGGTAGGAGATTGTTAATTTTAGAGATAGAGGGAGCAAATTGTCAAAATAAAAAAAAATTTCGTAGTCTTTTATTCTGCTGAAAGAATAGTGACCTAAAAAGTTGTTGGCACGAAGGCATGAAAAATTGTGTAAGTAGAG